AGGAGTCCCCTTGCCTGGTTCCCCATCTTATGGGGGAAGAGCATTCAGCCCTTTGCCATTAAGCATGCTGTTAGCTGTAGGGTTTTGAAGATGCCTTTTATAAAGAAGTTCCCTCTTTTCCCAGTTTGCGAAGTTTTTTTTTAATGCTAGATGCTGAATTTTGTCACATGCTTTTCTTGCATCTACTGAGATGTCATCAGACTTTCTTTAGTCTGTTGATACTGTGAATTACATTGATTGATATCTGTATGCTGATGGACCTTACATTTCCAGGATAAACCCCATTTGATTGATCCCAGAATCAAGTTATTCCAGGATAAAGACCGCTTCTTACATGTTGGATTCGGTTTGCTCCTGTTTTGCTGAGGATCTTGTGTCTGTGTTCATGCCGGATGCTGGTAGAGTACATTGAGAAGCACTCCCTCATCGGCTTTCCCTGAGTTCGTGCAGAATTGCTACGATGTCTCTCCTGGGTGTCTAGTGGGACTGCATTTCTTTAGCAGACATGAGTGCGTGCCCCATCCGGGCAGCCAGGCAGCCTCGACGAGCTGCCTGGTGTGTGGTTTTCAAGGAATTGGTCCCTTTCTTCTAGATTGGTGAATTCACAGGCATAAAACTAATATTTCCTTAATGTCCTTTTAATGTTTACAGGGTCTCTAGTGATGGTTCCCTTTCATTCCTGATGTTGTAATTTGTGCCTCCTTTGTCCTGGTCAGTCTGGCTCAGGCTCATCAAATTGACTGAGCTTTCCAAATAACTGCTTTTTGCTGTCACTGATTTTTCTTTCATGTTTTTGTCTTCATTGATTTCTGCTATTATTTCCTTTGTTCTGATTACCTTGGATTTAATTTGCCCCTTTTCTAATTAATTAAGGTGAAAGTTTAGCTCATTGATTAGAAACTTTCCTTTTAAAAAAACATGCATTTAGTATTATGAATTTCCCTTAGAGGAAAAGTGCTACTTTAGCTATAGTCCACAAATGTTAATGTTTTTTCATTGAATTAAAAAATATTTTCTAACTTCTCTTGTGAATTCCTCTTTACCCCATTAATTGTTTAATATCTGTGGATCTTTCAGAGACCTGTCATTGATTTCCAGAGGCATTACATTATGGTCTGAGAACATACTTTGTAGGATTTCAATTTTTTTTTTAATTTTGTTCAGGTCTATGGGATGGCCCAGAACACGGTGCGTGTGGGTGAGCAGTCCGTGTCACGTGGACAGAACGTGCGCTCTGCTGTGGGTGAGTCGGTCCGGCTGGTCTCCACACTCATCCTGGAAGGCTGGCTGCCTCGTGTCTAACCTCCAAGAGATGGTCCGTCCTTCAGTTCTGCTTCTTGTGCGCTGAAGCGCTGTGGTTCTGTGGGTGCTCATCTTGGACTGCGATGCCTGCCTTTGTCACGGAACGTGTCCCCCCCCCCCCCCCGGCGATATTTGTCTTGAAATCCACGCTGTCTGATGCTGACGTGACCATTGCAGCTTTCCCCGGATTCGCGTCTCCAAGATACATTTTCCCCATCTTTTTTTACCCGTCTTTATATTAAAGTGGGCTTCTTAGACATAACATAGTCAGGCTTTTTTTTTTAATTCACGATCTGTCTTTAATTGGTGTGTTTGGACTGTTTATATTTAACGTGGTTATTAAGAACTGATTTTAGATCCACCACTTTATTGTTCTGTCTCTGTTCCCCCTTTCCTGCCTTCTTTCGGATTGCTTGAAAACCTTCGGATTTTTGGCTGCATGTGTGTGTATGTGTGGTCACGCTAGGGGTTTCAGCTACATGCCCACCCTTTCGCAGGGGATTTGGAGTTAACTGTAGATGCCTTGCCCCCCTCCCTTCATGTCACAGCTGTGGGCATTCGCAGGTGTTGAAAACCCCACCAGTGTTTGAATTTTTGCTTTCAGCAGTCACGTACATTTTTAAAAATCTGCGAGGGAAAATTATCTTTCCTATTTACTCAGATGTTGACCATTTCTGTTGTTTTCCCCCCATGCCTGAAGACACACGTGTCCAGGTGGCATCATTTCCTGGCGGCCTGAAGAGTGTCCTCAGTAGCTCCTTTCGAGCTGGTCGCACAACCAACTCTCCCCTTTGCCGCAGAGCGTCCTCACTTTTCCTTCCTTCCTGAAGCTCCGGGCTGACTGTTGTCTTCTGAGACTTTCAAGACCCACTTCCCCATCTTCTGGCCCCTGTGGTTGCTGATCCCGGCGCCTGTTCGGATTATTGTTCCTCTCTACAGCTTTCATTTCCACCTGGAGCCTTCCAGGTTTTTTTTCTTTGCCTTCAATTTTTTGTAGTTTAATTATGATATGTCTAGGCACGGCTTTCTTTGGATTGGCCCTGTTGCAGGGGGTCACTGCGATTCTTGTCTGTAAGTTGAAGTCTTTTCTCAAATGTGAGAAATTTTCGGCCAGTCTTTCTCCAAAATTTTTTTCCTGCTAGCACGTTTCTCCTCTCTTGGGACTTTAGTAACACAACGCTGGACCTTCTCAGATCCTGTCTCACTGGTCCTGAGGCATGGACTTGGCCCCACACTTCCGTCTCTTCTCCGGGCCGGATGATTTCTGTTGGCTGGTCGTCCAGCTCAGTCTTTCCTTGGACACTTCCTTTCTGCAATCGAGCTTGTTAATTTTTTGTGTTTTTGGTATATTTTTCAGTCCTGGCATTTACGTCTTGTTCTTTTGTAGCCACTCTACTCAGCTGAGGCCTTTCCATCCGTTTCCAGCGTGTTCAGCTTTACCTTCTGTGACATAGTCCCGATAATCCCGCCACCTGGATCTGAGTTGGCATCTGCCGGGATTGTCTTTTTTTTCCCTTGGAAGCTGGGCGCGTCTTCATGATTCTGTGTTCTAATCCGGCATCTCAGCTGCTGTGTTGTGTCGACTCTGGGTCTGTCAGGATCCTCTGGAGAACGGGGATTTTTGTCCCAGCAGCCCGTCAGCCTGCTGGTTCAGACCACAGGTTCTGCTGGCCTCCAGTGTCCACGGTGAGCTTCAAGTGTTCTTGTGCACGTGGATGTGGAGGTGGTGGCAGGGCCTCCCTCCTGAGTTTGTGGCCAGGGAGTGACCACGGAGAGGACCTGGCACCCCCAGAAGCCCTTGTGTTGTCAGGACGATGCCCCACACTCTGCCTGATGTCCCCCAATTCTCTCCCTGGGTAGGGCAGGGTTTCAGGGAGACCCTATGGGGTGGAGGTAGGTGGGGAGGGGCCTCCCCAGGGCAGTGCACACAGGTGGACCAGGGAGACCCCATTCCGTAACTGGGTGCCCAACCTCACCCTGGGTGCCCCCTCCTCCCCATCCCCTGCTTTTAAACGTTCATGCTGCCGGTACTGGGGACAAATGTACACCCCACCAAAATGATCCCCGAGCCCGGTCCTCACCCCTCCTTCCTGCCCCAGCTCCCCAGGTAGTCCTCTAGTCTGATGGCCCCATGGGCCCCCTGTAAGCCTCTCCCACCTGTTTCCCTAGCCCCCACTGATCTTGGGCAGGATACCAGCTCTGCCACCAGGGGTTTGAACTCAGTTCTCACTTGTCTGTAGTGTTCCTGAGTCCTATGCCCTGTAGATTAGAATTCTACAGGGTCACAAGGGTTCACTGCTGGGCAGGATCAATGTGACATCCTAGCAGGAGGGGTCACCCCTGCCCCCTACACACACACACACACACACACACACACACACGGGCTGACAAGCCAGGCAACCTCTAGGGCCAGAGCCTAGGAGTCAGCTCAAGGTCATGCTGGGTTTCAGGGCAAAACCTCCCTAGCTGAACAGGATAAACGTGTAAAAAGAGAAAAGGTGATTAATTGGTACATAGGGTCTCACTTCTTGGACAGTGAGAGAGAACAAGATTCCCTCCCCAACTTTTGGGCTCTTTCAGGAGATGGGGGTGCCCCTTGCCTGGGTCAGGACGCCCAGGCTGCCTGCTGTGTTCCCCATGCCAGGGAGTGGGCCCCGCAGACCCAGGCGGGTTCTCCAGGTGCTCACCAGGGAGGTAGCTGGGGCCCTGACATCCCACCATGCAGCTCCCGTAGTGAAGCCCTCAAGGAGGCCGGCCTGTGACTGCAAAGGGCAGGCTTGGCAGACAACCCCGAGCTCTGGGGTCCTGGGGAGCAGACGGAAAGGAGAGGGGTCCAACCTGCCGGTAGGGTCTGCACCTCCCCCAACCAGGCCGTCTAGTCCCTCCATGCTCTCGGACCGGCAGCTGCAGAGTGGGACAGGGTCACTGGATGGAAAGGCAGCCTGCTCCTCCTTGTCTCTCACAACTGCCCTTAGGGCCACTGTGCAGTCTTGGGGGTGGGCGGCTGTGTTACCAGAAACAAATGGGTGGGGCCCAGCAGCCAGCCTGGCACCGGCAATGCCAGTTTCCTGCAAAATTCCCCAAATTAGCTGGCAGAGAGCCCTCTCCTGGCTGAGGCCAGCATTACACCTCCAAATCCAGGTTTCCAGCTTGGGTTACCCGCCCCCCCAAGCAACTCGGCTGCATCATGTCATGCCCTCTGAGCGAAGGGCACGGAAGGCCCTGTAAGTGGGACACCCCCCATCTTTCTTCTTGCTGTCGCCCGCTCACTCCCTGGGGCATCTGGCTTCCCACCTGGGCACCGGGACTCCAAACGAACCCCCCTCCTGGAGGAGGTACCCAACTGACCAGCCTCCCTCACCCCGAGGGGTCTGAGGCCAGCCTCAGTGAATGAGGGGACCGCCAGTGTCTGTCCCACTGGAGGGGGACCAGGACCCTACCCTGCACCTTGCTACACGCAGCTGCCCAGAGGGGACGGCCAGGGCACAGGGTGCAGTCAGTGCTGGAACCCCAGCCGGCTCACGGAGGACCTTCACCTGCCCCCACGTCCCCAGCCCCCATGTGGTGCTGCTGAGGCAGGTGCCCTCGAGTGAATGCCCTGTGAGGGTCGAGGGGCCGTGTTTCAGGGACCCGAGAGGAGAAGAGCCACACTTCAACCCACCCAGGTGCTCCTATGGACCCCACTCCATGAGGCAGCAGACCATGCAGGCATCAACTTTAATATGGGGCTGACCTGTTGGGGAGCTGGGAGGATCCCCTTTCTGTTCTTGTCGGGAGGGAGATGTCATCGGGATTGTCTAATATCAAGATGAACCGTCAGATAGAGAGCCGCGACCACCCCTACAGCATCCGCCCGGTCGGAGAGCCCCGGGTGCCCGGCAGCTTCCCAGGCAACGGGGGCGCACCCGCCCGAGCGGGCCCGTCAGCACCTCCGGGAAGCCCTGGGAGACCGCCGGCTCTCCAGGAACGTCCCTTTGCAGTGGGGCTGAGCTCCCGCTGGTGATGAGGGCTGGTCAGGGCTCTGCAGCCACCAAGCCAGCAGGGGTGGTCCCCCTCCTCGCTGACCCAATGCCCCCGAACACTGACACAGAGGAGGAGAGGTTTCCAGCCCTGAACCAACACGGAGACCGGGCAGGTCAGGAAGCCAGGCCACGGCAGGGACTCCCTAACGGAAGCCGCCGCCAGCCAACGGCAGCAGCAAGAAGTGAGGAAAGGGCGGGCAAGGAAGCTAGGTTCGTCGCGCCCTCCAAGAAGAGAGCAAGCTGCGGAGAAGGCGGCCGTGGAGCCTCGCGGGGCCGGGGACAGGAGTGTGGCCAGCACCAGGCGCACTGGGCCCGCCTGTGGCCGCATGGGAGCCACAGCGTCAGAGGCCGCGTGTGGCCGGAGGTTCTGAATGTTGCCATTGAATCCACAAATGAGAGCAAGACAGCAGCGCCAGGGAAGCGCTCCTCCGCAGAGTCACCCTGGAATGGAGCCCTGTGTGTGCCACGCTGCTCCGTCAGCACCTGACCGGCCTGGCCTGGAGCCGGCCTCCTGGGAGCCGGGTCAGGGCTGGCCACGCACCCAAACTCTGTGGGCCCCAGTCTCTGGGGAGTCCCCGCCAGTCCCAGAAGAGGAGGCCAAGTTACGAGGCTGCCACCAGTTCCACCTGCTTGGGCCTGGCCTCGCGGGGGACTCGCTCTGTGGAAGAAAGAAAGAGGTGCTTGTCGAGTAGAGAAGACCCCAGATGCAGAAGGAAGGAGGGGAGGTGGCAAGGAGCTGGGTCCCATGGCGGTGCTCTCTGGGCGGGGCCTGGCGTGAAGGAGGGATGGGGAAAGGGGCAGAAAGAAACATGGAGGGACCACCAGCCACGCGGGGCCCCCGCGGCGAGTGACACCACAGGGCCCTGCTATTCGGAGGACAGCTCATCCCGGCCGGACACGGCCTTTCCCCAGCTCTGCCTGTCTCTCTGAATGGGGTTAGGCTCTACAAGGTCACCCCCATCCCAGAGACCCAGAGTGAGGCCCGTGCTCCTGAGTCGGCTCCAGCAAGCTCGCCTACCCAGCTGGGGAGGTGTGAACCAACTTCCACCAAGCAGGAAGGGAAGGACCTTGCGGCCCGGGCGTTGCACTTTGTTCTAGAATCCACTGTTCTCCAAAGGACAGAACAAGAAGCATACCTGGTTTCTTTTCGGGAAGCGGCTCTGAAGGGACCTCTGGGAGCTCTATCTGCTCCTATAAGAAACAGGGCGGAGGCTGTAGGACACCATCTGAACGGAAAGCCTCCCGCAGCAAAGCTCCAGAGTGCCACTTCTGCAGCACCCGGCACTGCCAAGACTTGCATCACCCCAGGGGCTCCCCTGGAGACCCCGGTTCACATCCCGGCCGTGCAGGCGTGCGCAGGCTCAGGAACGCGCACACGGGTCCCGGAGCTGGAGGGGTGCCCCGGCTGTGCTTGCTCTGGGGCAGGGCTCTGCTGGAGCTGCCTGTCCTGGGCGGGGGGGGGGGGGGCACTGGGCTGCCTCGGGGGCAATGCATGGCAGTTCACCTCCCAGCCAGCTCCCCTGGCAGCTCAGGGGGCACTCGGGTCCTCGGGAGGAAGGACATCCGGAGGCAGGTGCCTGCGGGACACTGAAGGGCAGAGAGCAGCGACCCTAACTAGCTGCTCCTCCTGCAGGTACGGGGAGCAGCAGGTGGGGGCCATGGTGAGAACGTGGAGCCCTGAGGTGGTGGCCCAGAGATAGGGATCGCTCAGTCAGGGAGCAGACACAGGCCTCAGGGCCTGCCTGTGACAATGTGCAGGGCCTGCATGCGACAGTGAGTGACCTGGCTACAACGGGAAAGACCACTCATGTGATCACAAAACGACACTCTGTCCTCCAGAAGGGTCTGAGCGAGGAGTCAGAGCATTTCTGTGCTGTCCAGACACGTCTGGCTATAGGCTGCCCCAGCCGCCTGCAACGTTCTTGGGTGGACAACCCAGGACACCGTTCTCTCCAGGCCAGTTTCCCCTGCTGTCAGCCAGGTACACAAGGAGAAGGGACCTCAGTGTAGCACAAATTCTAGTCGTTTTAGGAACACCAACTGCAAAACCAGGATTGTGTGCTTGTGTGACAACTGATGCAGGTGTTCACCCAAGGCCAAGGACCATGACAGGCAGAAGCCTCCTGGGGGTCTGATCACCTGAGTGATTGTGCTCAGTCCTGGGGGTCCTATCACCTGAGTGATTATGCTCAGTCCTGGGGGTCCTATCACCTGAGTGACTGTGCTCAGTCCTGGGGGTCCTATCACCTGAGTGACTGCGCTCAGTACTGAGAGATCCTATCACCTGAGTGACTGTGCTCAGTCCTGGGGGATCCTATCACCTGAGTGATTGTGCTCAGTCCTGGGGGGTCCTATCACC